AGAGAGAGAGAGAGAGAGAGAGAGAGAGATCTTTTTCTTCCTCTTCTTCTTCTTCTTCTTCTTCTTCTTCTTCTTCTTCTTCTTCTTCCTCTTCTTCTTCTTCTTCTTCCTCTTTTCCTCCGCCTCCTTCGCTTCTTCTTCTTCTTCTTCTTCTTCTTCTTCTTCTTCTTCTTCTTCTTCTTCTTCTTCTTCTTCTTTTTCTTCTTCTTCTTCTTCTTCTTCTTGCCCCCCCTACCTGCCATCCCCGACCACCATCATTTTTTTTTGCCTGTCGACAGTGTCTAGTGCAGGCGCGCGTGGGGCCGCGTCGCCTCCAGCACCTGTCTTCATCACCTTCTTCATCTTCCTCTGCTCCTCCACCACCCATCTTCATCACCTTCTTCTTCTTCTTCTTCTTCTTCTTCTTCTTCTTCTTCTTCTTCTTCTTCTTTGCCCACCCTATCTCACCCGCCGCCCTCCATCCTCCACCACCGATCTACATCATCCTCACCCCCTGGCCGCCATCCTCCACCACCTAACATACTCATCTTCTTCTTCTTCTTCTTCCTCTCGGCCACCTTGTCTCCTTCTTCTCGCCCACCCTTTATTACCACCTGTCCGCCATCCTCCACCACCCATCTTCTTCTTCTTCTTCTTCTTCTTCTTGTTCGTCCTCCTCTTCCTCCTCTTCTTCTTCTTCTTCCACATACACACCTGCAAGGTCTGTGACATACCACCACTGACATCCCCCAGACCCCCCCGCTGACATCCATCCCCCAGCATCTCGTGGATGTACAGGCCTGCCTTCACTTAGGGCGGCCACGAGGCTTGCTGGGGGCTGGAGTCCAGAACATTTGCATGCCCGAAAAGTGCCTCGCGAGGGCTCAATCATTACATCTTCCTATATGCCTTGTTAATGGTGCCCTTCAGTTTCGTTTTTTTTCCCCTGCAAAATTGCAAACAGCTGGGGTCTTGACTTATTTATGAACCATAAATTTCCTCTTTCCATTTTTAAATGATTTTTCGTTCTCTGTTTTTTTTTTTCTTTTTTTTCTTTTTTTTCTCTCTCTAAAGGTCCAGACTCCAGGGTGTAGTAGAGGGTGGTGGCCAGGCCTCAGGAGGTGCCCGTAGTACTCATCCATTGGGAGGTTAAGTGGTTTTTTTTGCAGGTTCGCCCACAGAAACCTTGTTACGACGTCACCCTCCTCAAGTGATAAGCTTCAATGAACTTCTCCCAGCACCCCCAGCGGCAAACCGCCGAGATCACCGCAATCCAGACACTTCACCGGACATTGAATGAGTATAGTTTTTGTATAATTAATTAATAATTAAATAATTTATTAATTTTACTATTTCTCGTTCTCTGTAATCCTGTATGATGTACTAGACGTAGGCCTTTTTGGTGTTTTGGAGGGTCTTTAACACGTTTAACTTCTGCTGCGCGTAAGTTTTCCTCACCCTGCTTCTCCGAAAAAGGTACCAGAACAGGTTGGGGAGGTTTTGTAGGCTGCTGCCTTGACTGTCTTGAATTTTGAAAAAGCAAAAGCATTCTTCCGAACCCCCCCCCCCCCCCCCCCCCCTGCAAGGGCCCCAAAAAAAGGAAATAAAAGGGTTTGGATTCTTTGGAATGCGAGGTCCAGAGTACCAGTGCTTGAAATAATCGATTCAGAAATGAGGGGGGCCTGAAGCTTGTCCTGGTGTAGTCATGCGCAAATGATCCACCCTTTGTTAGCTTTCGACATTTTTTTTTTTTTTTTTTTTTTTTTCCAAGTGCAAGTTTTATGTGCTGTTTCCTCTATGTCTTATCAACACGTTCTCAGTTAATGATTGTTATGTTCGTTGTGTCGTTGAATGTGTCTGTGGTTTGCCCCGGAATTTGTGCAATACGAGATTGTGTAGGCCATGACGATGCTATAGCGATTATACTTGCTGCTCACAGTGATAATATCGACTTGCTTGGGATCAGCACAGTATATGGGAATGAAGAGGTCAGTGCTTTTCCTTCTACCCTGTGACTATGTAGTATGTACTATGTAGCCTTCTGTCCTTTTCTCTTTTCCTTCATTTTTTTTTCATTAACGGCGAGCACAGAGGGTAGTAAATCGTTGCAACAGCAGCAACACCGATCTACATACCGTATGTATGTGCCCTGGACTTCACCCTACCCTTTGTTTTCTTTCTTTTTTCCGAAAAGTGCAACATCCTTGAGGTATCATCACTGGACTGGCTGGGCCCAGGCGAGTCAGAGTTATGTCCTTCATCTGAGTCCATTTGGGGATTCGAACTTGGGTTTTGTTTGTCAATAGTTACATGGGTGTACCGTTCAGCCCACACAAGCTGGATTGCGGTTTATGCTACCAGAATTTGGGTCGGATTTTCTTAATAAGTGGCGACCCCATGATCCGTGCTCAATGTGCTGGAGCCCCACAATCAAGTGGCGACTCATGCTCCACACTCAATTTGCTGGAGCCCCATAATCAAGTGCCAACCCATGACCCATGCTCAATTTGCTGGAGCCCCACAATCAAGTGGTGACCCCCTAATTGATTGGTGATCCATGACCCATGCTCAATTTGCTGGAACCCGACAATCAGAGAGTGCAAACGGATAACTGTTGCCCGTAGTACTTGACCGTACCCAACCATAACCGTCGGGTTGTGGGCATGGATGGGTACCCCTTCCAGAGGGGAGAATTGGGTGTGTCACATACCAAGATGGTGCAGACCAGAACCAAGAACCGACCTCTCACAGATAGAGCAAGCTAGCACAGCGGAAGACTGGGATACAGATGATCAGACCCAATCAATGTCGAAGTGCAGACTGAACATACATCATCATCATCACATGGTGTGAATGGCCTGGCGCCGCACACCAGGACGAAGGTGCCAGGCCGAACTCATACACAGAGGAAGGGGAAGAGACGAAGGAGAAGGGGGAAGAGATGAGAATGTTGTCAACCCAAATATCGCTGATATCAATCCCAAGTAGTCCCCCCAACGTCTCGGTCCCAAGTGTCATCAATCTCTCTCTCTCTCTCTCTCTCTCTCTCTCTCTCTCTCTCTCTCTCTCTCTCTCTCTCTCTCTCTCT